ATTCTATGGGAAAAGTATTACCCTAATACAAAAATCAAAAACACATCAAAAAACAAAACTACAGGCTAATATCTCTGATGAATATTTATGCAAAAATCCTCAATGGAATATTTGCAAACTTAATTCAATAATACATTGGAAAGATTATCACAACCAAGTGGGATTCATCCCTGGGATGCAAGGCAAGGATGGTTCAACATATGCAAATGAATCAATGTGATATATCAACAGAATGAAGGATAAAAATCATATGATAATTTTAATTGATGCCCAAAAAAAGCATTTGATAAAATTCAACATCCCTTCATGATAAAAATCCTCAACTGGATATGGAAGAAGCATACCTCAACCATAAAAGCCATATATGACAGACCCACAGCTAGTATCATACTGAATGGGGAACCCAAATTTGCATTTCCTTTAAGATGTGGGACACAACAAGGATGCCCTCTGTCACCACTGTTATTCCACATAGTACTGGAAGTTCTAGCCAGAGGAATCAGGCAAGACAAAGATATAAGGGACATTGAAATTGGAAAGGAGAAAGTCAAATTATCCTTGTTTGTAGATGATATGATCTTATATTTGACAAAACCTAAAGACTCCACAAGTCAACTATTGGAACTGATAAATTAATTCAGTAAAGTGGCAGGATACAAGGTTAACATACAAACATTGGTAGCATTTCTAGATGCCAACAGTGAACAATGTGAAAAAGAAATTTACAACAGCCACGTGTAAAGTTAAATACCTAGGAACTAACTTAACCCAAGAAGTGAAAGATCTCTACAATGAAATGTATAAAACATTGGTAAAGAAATGGAATAGAATACCAAAAAATGGAAAAATATTCTATGTTCATGAATTGGAAGAATCAACATTGTTAAAAGTTTCATACTACCCCAAAGAATCTACAGATTCAATGCAATCTCATAAAAATATAAATTACATTCTTTATAGAAATAGAAAAAATTATCCAAAAATTTATATGAAAACACAAAAGACCCAGAGTAGCCAAAGCTCTCCTATAAAAATAAGAAGTCTGGAGAAATCACATTACCTGACTTTAAATTATAATACAGAGCTATAGTAACCAAAGCAGCATGTTACTGGCATAAAAGCAGATACATTGACAAATGCAACAGAATGGAAAACCCAGAAATAAAGCCACATACCTACAGTGAACATATTTTTGAAAAAGGTGCCAAGAACATACACTGGAGGAAAAGACAGTCTCTTCAATACATGATGCTGGGAAAATTGAATATCTATATACAGAAGAATGAAACTAGACTCCTATGTCTTTTTTATTTTTTATTTTTTGAAACAGAGTCTGGATCTGTCACCCACGCTGAGTGCAGTGGTGTGATATTGGCTCACTGCAACCTCTGCCTTCCAGATTCAGATGATTTTCCTACCTCAGCCTCCCAAGTAGCTGGGATTACAGGCACCTACCACTATGCCTGGCTAATTTTTGTATTTTTAGTAGAGTAGGGGTTTCGCCATGTTGGCCAGGCTGGTCTCAGACTCCTGACCTCAGATAATCCACCTGCCTCAGGCTCCCAAAGTGTTGGAACTATGGGCATGAGCCTGCCGCACCTGGCCTAGATTCCTTTCACTCATCATATACCAAAGCCAAATAAAAATGGGTTAAAGACTTAAATTTAAGACCTCAAACTATGAAACTAGTACAAGAAAACATTGGGAAAATCTCTAGGACAATAGTTTAAGTAAAAATTTCTTGAACAATACCCCACAAGCACAGGCAACAAAAGCAAAAATGGACAAATGTGATCACATGAAATTAAACAACTTCTGCACAGCAAAGGATGCAGTCCAACAAAATGAAGAGACGATCCACAGGATGGGAGGAAATATTTGCAAACTACCCATCTGACAAGGGATTAATAACCAGAATACATAAGAAGTTGAAACAACTCTATGGAAAAAAAATCTAATAATCCAATAAAAAAATGGTCAAAAGATTTGAACAGATATTTCTCAAAAGAAGATATACAAATGGAAAATAGGCATATTAAAAGGTACTCAACATCATTGATCACAGAGAAATGCAAATCAAAACTACAATGAGATATTATCTTGCCTCAGCTCAAATGGCTTATATCCTAAAGATAGGCAACAAGAAGTGCTGGTGAGGATGTGAAGAAAAGGGAATCCTTGTACACTATGGATAGGAATGTAAATTAGTACAACCACTGTGGTTAGAACAGTTCAGACATGCCTCAAAAAACTAAAAATTGAGCTACAATCTGATCCAGTAATCCCACTGCTGTGTACATATCCAAAAGAAAGGGAATCAGTATATCAAAGAGATATCTGCACTTCTATATTTGTTGCAGCACCATTTATAATAGCTAAGATTTGAAGCAAACTAAGGTTCCATCAACAGATGAATGGATAAAGAAAATGTGGTACCGATAGATATACAATGGAGTACTATTTAGCCATAAAAAAGAATGAAATCTGGCCAGGCGCAGTGGCTCATGCCTGTAATACCAACACTTTGGGAGGCCCAGGTGGGAAGATCATGAGGTCAAGAGATGAAGACCAACCTGGCTAACATGGTGAAACCCTGTCTCCACTAAAAATACAAAAATTAGCCAGGAGTGTTGGTGTGCTACTTGGGAGGCTGAGGCTGGAGAATTGCTTGAACCTTGGAGGTGGAGGTTGCAGTGAGCCGAGATTGTGCCACGGCACTCCAGTCTGGCTACAGAGTGAGACTCTGTCTCAAAACAGAAAAAAAAAGAGATCCAATCATTTACAAAACAAACATTGCATGTTTTCATTTATTTCTGGGTTCTAAAAATCAAAACAATTGAACCTGTGGGCTTAGAGAGTAGAAGGATGTTTATCAGAGGCTGGGAAGGGTAATAGGGCTTGGCAGAAGTTGGGGATGGTTAATGGATACAAAAAATAGAAAGAATGAATAAGACCTACTATTGTTAGCACAATACAGTGAGTATAGTCAATAATAATTGTATATTTTTAAATAACTTAAAGAATTTAATTGGATTGCCTGCAACTCACAGAATAAATGCCTTGAAGAATGTAATTGGATTGCCTGCAACTCACAGCATAAATGCTTGAAAGGATGGTTACTCCATTCTCCATGATGTGCTTATTTCACATTGTATACTTGTATCAAAACATCTCATGTACCTTATAAATATGTACACTTATTACGCACCCACAAAAATAAACAAATAAAAATATTAAAATAAATGAAATAAATTTGGAAATTATTTCTGGAGGTATTCTCATTTCTAATAACATCAGTACATAATAGACATACATGCATACATCAAAATGCAACCCAAATTTATGATTTTCTAAAATAAACTACCTGTTATCATAGGATTACAAGAAAGTTAAGATTTCTAAGAAAGTATCAACAATTAGAAGATGATTTTCTAATTTTAAAAACATCTCTGGCAACAAAGACACGTTATGTTATTGTCAGGAAGCTTTATTAACTTTAATATTCATAGTTGTTAACCTTTACCCATAAATTATTGCATCTCTAAAACTTAGGAATTCTGCTGACTTGATTTTTGTGTGTGGAGAATGGGGTCTTACTATATTGCCCAGGGAGATCTCAAACACCTGGTCTCAAGCTATCCTTTCACCTCTGCCTCCATAAGTGTTAGGATTACAGGAGTGAGCCATGATGCCTGGCCTGACTTGATTTTTAGTCCTTTTTTTCTCTCCTCATGTGAATATGGGGTCCTACTTGAGCAGCATCTCGAGTTGCTGTTTTAGAATGACATCTTTTCATTCAATTTAAAATGCATATTACCATAATATTTCAGAAATAAATTGTTGTGTATATTAGTAAAAGTATATTTTATATCCTTGAAACAAATGTTGAAATCTGTAATTAAAATTTTGAATCTCAAGATTTTTTTCTCTTCTTGCTTTCATTTTAGAAATTTCAGAGAAGAGCATAGGTTTCCATTATTTAATTCTGTGAGTTTAGTATAATTTAAAAATATTCCTTCTCTTCACATTATATGCTTTTCCTGAGTAAGGTCATCCACTCTTACTTTCTGGGTGCCTCAAATTTGTTGTGTCCAACACTGAAGGCATTGTCCTTGACCCTTTCCTGACTTTTTGTAATCTACTCTAATATCTGGTTTCACCTTCCTAGGAAATAACACCTAGTAAGTAGCACTGAAACATTGAAGCAGGAAAAATTCTACATTTCAGGTCTTTCTCAAATCATCAATTCAGTCACTTGCAAATTCTTTATTTTCTACCTGCATAGCATTTTTTATATCTCATTACTGTAATTCACTCTCTGACTCATAATTTTGAAATGCTCTTGTCTAATGTCCTCCCATGCCATGTTCATCTTTATTTTTTTGTTGCTGCCAAGGTGACTTTTATAAAATGTATTTATAATGATATATAACTCATCTGCGTTTGAATGGTTCCCCATTACATGATGGGAAAAGGTCACACTCTAGTGTGGGCCATATCTTTTTGTGGTTTGGCCTGATTCTCCCATTTTATCTCTCCATTCCATTCCTTCCGTGTTCCACTTTTACCACATTATTTTGGTATCCCTCATTACCCTGTCATTTCATGCGTCATGTTTTTGTGCATGCTTCTCTGTCTAGAAATCTTTCCTACCCTCACTGTGTACTTGGTCTATGTTTCAAAATATGGGTCTATCTTTGCAGTATTTCTTGAGCTTCCCATGTAGCACTGACTGTTCTGTTCCTTGTGCTTGTACTGTACTTTATTCCTTTAGTTGTAGAACTCGTGGATTATAGTTTTCTGTTTTTATTACCTTTCATATATCTCTACCTCACTGAAATATAAGGTAGGATCTGATTTTGATTTATATTTTTAGCTTATCCCCAAATATTGATAATGATTTGATAGACACAGTAAATTTTTGTTGTCTGACTGACAGAGTGGGTGAGTGAGTAAATGCAATGTTTTCTGAAGTTGCTGTTTTTTTTTATTTTTAATAGGAGAACGCAACAAAGCCAGCAAATGGAAAAAGACAAAATGGTATGGGTATTATTGAGGGTGCCCCACAAAAGCACACAAATAATGAAAATTTAATTTCGATTAAAAAAATTAGAGGTGGTAAGTTAGTGAATATCTCTGAAAAGAATGTATATTAAATACTTTGAATAGAAAACCACCAAACTGTAGATCCAAACATAATATTCACTTCTTTTCAATCATTTCTTGTCTTTATACTACCAACTTTTTCTTAAAGCTACTTCAATTCTTCAATTCCCTGAAATTCTTTTTTCTTTCTTTCTTTTTTTTTTTTTTTTTTTTTTTTTTTTTTTTTTTTTTTTTTTTTTTTTTTTTTTCACTGAAATATTTATGGGTGAAGACAAACTTGTATATGTATATAAAATTCATATACAATTTAGTGATAAATTTTCTCATGTATGTATCTGTGTATAACATTTTATAGATATGCCATCCATAGTAAAATCAGGACAAAAGGAAGAGATACAATCACATTTGGACACCAAGGTATTATCTATGGCTATTGCTGTAGTTACTATTTTAGAAAATAAGTTTTCAGTGATGTTACAACATAAAAGAGAATGCTTTCACTTCACTTTTGCACCTCTGCAATATACTCATAAAGAATTATTTTTTGGACAGGCATGGTGGCTCATGCCTGTAATCCCAGCACTTTGGGAGGCTGAGGCAGGCAGACCACCTGAGGTCAGGTGTTCGAGACCAGCCTGGTCAACATGGCAAAACCCAGTCTCTAATGAAAAAAATACAAAAATTAGCTGGGTGTGGTGGTGGTCACCTGTAATCCCAGCTACTCAGGAGGCTGAGGCAGGAGAATCACTTGAACCCAGGAGATGGAGGTTTCAGTGAGCTGAGATGGCACCACTGCACTGCAACCTGGGTGACAAAGCAAGACTCTGTCTCAAAAAAAATTATTTTCTTACAGATACATAATCAGCCCATGATTAGTACAGTAATTATGTACAAAGTATATCACTGCTGCATAGTACAATTCTGTTAATTTGGAGAATTTGTCTAAAAAGTTGGTATCATATAGCACAAAAAATATAAGGCTTAGAAGTCATAAGGAATCAGTTTGAACTCTAAAGTTAAGTTTATCTAGAAACTAAAAAAACTGTTCCATGTCAATATATGGCTAAATGCATGATTCTGTGGTCTACCTGGATGTGTAAAAGTGCTAATGAGATTCAGAGAGAAAGAGTTTGGACTGTAGTTTTGTACAATTTGAAACCTGAAAAGATAATGCCTGGGACTTGAAAGTACTACCATATTTGGATTGTCTAGTATAGATCTGCAAAAAATTTCAAAAGAAGCAAAAGCATGGGGAGTTGTAAATAAGTGAAGCTATAAACACAATAGTTTGGGTTAGTGGTGTTTTATTAAGTAGAAATCATATTCAAAAAAAGAAAAAATTGAGTAACTTTATGATAAATGAAGACTATTCTAAGGTGACACTAGAAAGAGATGAAAGGGCCTGGCTTGCTAGAAGCAGTTGCTGTATCATGATACCAGTACCAAGTTGGTCAAAAGACATGTTGTTATCCTGGTGCTTTTACTTACTAGCTATGAATTTCTGGTAAAAATTATTTAACCTATTTGAAGGTCAAGTGATGACCTTCATAAAAAGGATATTAGTATGTGCCTCTTAGGCATGTGTAATGAACAAATGCACTAAAAATTTGGAAAGCATTTTGTAAACTTGAAAGTGGGTACACTAATGCATAATAAAGTGATCACAGGGAAATTGGTGGCTTAATAAGTATTGAGGATGCTTCATGTAAACCTGGAGGACAATAAAATGACAGTAGCATCAAGAAAAGATTGGGAAAGTCAGAATGGACATGCGAATTTCTAGTTTGGGGAACATGTAGTTTCAGCAGACTATTATTAGAGAAATCTTCTAGGAATCTAGTTGTTTGACACTTGAGACATTCCCATGGTATTTGAAGTGTTTCGACCTTGAATGAATTTCTGCTGTTGAACACTAATTCTGCTAGGCAGTTAGAGACTGAATTTAGATGATGGAGGCTTAGGTTATAGCAGCAAGAAGAGAAAAACAAGTAAATAACCTAGTCTTCTAAGTTGAATGTCCTTCCTATTAAGAAAACAGAGAAGGTAGTTTAGTGATTATTGAAGAGGTTTGTAGTTAGCTTGGGGATGGGAGTGGCAGTAGAGTTCTGTAGTCAGAGATGTTTCTGTTTGTGACATTGAAACTGTCAACTAAAGGATGAAAGGAGCCAGCCATGGGATAGTCTAGGAGGAGGCCATTCTGGGCAGAGAGGAAACAATGGATCTCATCTGTTCATTTTCTTGTTAACATCCTGGAATGACAAGAAAGTGGGGTGACCATCATCATCATCATCATTATTTTTATTAGTATAATATATAGAAGAGAAAATGTGAAATGAAGTTGGCTGGTACATTTTAGATGCTTCACAAGTGAATGTTCTTTTTCTGTTTTATATACTGAGGCTCAGTATACTTGAAGTTATTTCATTATTGGGAGAGAGTTGCTTTTTATAGCTAATATTTGCTTGCTTATATGCAGACATAATCTAAAAGTTTTCTCATTGCTTTGTAATTTTTTTCAACCATTTTTCTATCAGTAAAAATGGTATCAAAAATTTATTTTTTTTTTATTTTGTAAACAAAATTTATTTTGTTTATTTCTCCAAGCTCTTGTTTACCTAAATGAAGCAGCTTCTGTCATGTTCTGTTTAAATGCAACATCCCACACTCCACAGTTTCTTATTGTGATGTTTTAACATTTACATATTCTATAACCAGAAATCTTTAAAATATGTAATGCTTTAAGTGTAATAGCAAGTGTGTTATGTAGTATTTTAAGTGGTCTCTTACATTTTGTTGGGAATGTAGGGTAGAGTTAGGTATTTTGAAGTTAGTCTCTTGCTGCACTACGCACATAAGTTATGGTTTGGTCTGTGAATCTATTTCTTGTAGCCTTTTAGTCTGGGTGTGTAGAGGCAATAGCTGTGTGAAGATAAAAGATAAGTTTGATTTAGAGAGCCTATGTAAGTTTATCTTTTAAATAATTTAGGTTCCCAACACACGCTTTTCTTATTTTGAAGTTATCTTAATGATAGTTTCTCTAAAAGAAAGTGTTTGGGAAATCTTTATGTAACCACTACTTCTTTTTCATCTTCTTGAAACTCATTGTTGTTATTGATTTTTACAGAAGATCTCCAAGAATCACACAGCTAATGGTGGCAGTCATGTATCTGGGGCTACAGACTGTAAGACAAAATATAATATAGTAAATGGGCAAGAAAAAGGTAAAAACTGTATATCACAGAATAAGTCAAGTGACAGAATGTCTCTTTGAAAACAGGAGCACTAGCATAGTCTAATAACCAGAGAAAACTTCTTAAAATGACTTTTTTTTTTTGAGATGGAGTTTCACTCTTGTTGCCCAGGCTGGAGTGCAATGGTGTGATCTCCGCTCACCACAACCTCTGCCTCCCAGGTGCAAGCTATCCTCCTTCCCCAGCCTCCCAAGTTGCTGAGATTACAGGGGTGCACCACCATGCCCAGCTAATTTTTTTGTATGTTTAGTATAGATCGGGTTTCACCATGTTGGCAGGCTGGTTTTGAACTGCTGACTTCATGTGATCCACCTGCCTTGGTCTCCCAAAGGCGTGAACCACTGTGTTCAGCCCTTTAAAATGACTTCTGAGGTCAGGCCTCAGATTATGCCTATAATTCCAGCACTTTGGGAGCATGAGGCGGGTGGATCACCTGAGGTCGGGAGTTCAAGACCAGCCTGATAAACATGGAGAAATTTCATCTCTACTAAAAATACAAAATTAGCCAGGCATGGTGGCACATGTCTGTAATCCCACTTACTCGGGAGGCTGAGGCAGGAAAATTGCTTGAACCTGGGAGGCAGAGGTTGCAGTGAGCCGCGATTGCGCCATTGCACTCCAGCCTGGGCAACAAGAGTGAGACTCCCTCTCAAAATAAAATAAAATAAAATAAAAATACACAGTGATAAATGTTCTCATGAATGTGCCTGTGAATATCATTTTTTAGGTAGAACACCTGTATTAGGAGCTGGAGAAGAGGAAGGTACAGAATCATGTCTGAATTCTGAGGTATTATCTATTGTCATTGTTGTGGTTGTTTTTAGAATATGAGCATTCAGTGATACTAAAAGAGGATGCTTTATATTACCTTCTCATTTCAGCGTGTGCTCATAAGGAATTACTTTTTTTTTCATGCCATAAAGTACAGTAATTATGTGCAGTTTCCCCTCCATAGTACTAATCGGCTTAGCATCACAAGGCATCAGTTTGGGTTCTGTAGTTAAGTTCATCTACAAACTAAAGAATTCTTCCACATCAACTTATAGCCAAATGTATGATTCTGTATTTGACCTGGATGTGTAAAAGTCCTAGTAAGATTCAGAAAGAAAGTGTTTGGACTGTAGTTATATACAACTTGAAACTTGAAAAGATAATGTCTGGAACTTGAATGTACTACTGCATTTGGATTGTCCAGTATAGATCTGCAAGGAGCACTGTAGGAGAAAGACAGTCCTGGGGAGTAGGGGGTATGTGGGAATATAAGTATGGTGGTGTTTTCATAAATAGAAATCATGTTTGAAAATTGAACACATTTGAGTACCTTTATGGCAAATGATGACATATTCCAAGGGGGCAACTATGGAAACAGATGAAAGTGCCTGGCCTCTTAGAAGCAGTTGCTCTACAGTGATATAATGTGTAGAAAAGAAAATGTGAAATTAAGTACCTGGCACATTGTAGATGTATCATATATAATGTTCTTATTCTTTTGTTAAGGCTTGTTTTGCTTTGTTGAAGTTATTTTTTAATAGGGAGAGAGTTGCTTACTATATCTGGTATTTGCTTGCTTTTATTTAAAGATAACCTAAAGACAAGTTTTTAAATGATTTTATTATTTTATTCAACCATTCTTTGTATCAATAAGAATTTTTGAAAAATGATGTAGATTTTTTGAAGCTCTTGTTTACGTAAATAAAGCAGCTTCTACCATGTCCTGTTTATATTCAACATGACATACTCCACAGTTTATTATGCTAAGCTTTTTAACACCAAAAAATCATATAACTAGAAATATTTAAAATATTTAATGATATAATAATATAGCAAGTATAGTACATAATTATTTAAATGCCCTTTCATTTTCCATGTGGAATCTAAAATTGAGTTGGATATTTTTAAGTTAGCTTCTTTCTGTGATATGCACATAAAGGTACTGTATAGTCTGTGAATATATTTCTGTGGCCTTCCAATCTCAGTGTACAGAGGCCATAGCCATATGAAGATGAAACATAAGCTTGATCTAGAGAGCCTAGGTAAAGTTCTCTGTAGAAATGTTTTCCTTGTCAGTATATAATTTTTAAATTTTTAAGTCATTTGAAGGAAGAAATTCAGATTTTTAAAAGAAAGTGATTGGGACATATTTGCGTAACTCATTATCATTTCATTTTTAATTTAAATACATTGCTATGATTTGTTTTAACAGAGCATCTCTAAGTGTCTTTCACTGATGTCTTTTGCTCATTTATGTGAGTCCGAAGATTCTGAGTCAAAATATTTATTATATGACCAAGTGGCAGGTAAAAACTATATTTCATAAAAAATGTCATTTGTTAGAATGTTATTTGGAGTCATAAGTAGTAATTTATTCTTATCACCAAATAAATCTCTTATTAATTGCATAATAAAGAAAAAGTGACATGGAATGATAATAAGTCTTATCATGTGTCAGGAACAGATTAAATTGAGAATGTCAATAAAGGGGCTGAATTATTGGTTGCAATTCAAGAAATTCTGAAATCTGAGAAATGTCAGGAAAGAAGTAAGAGCAAATGAGTAAAAGAAGGAATGATGGCTTGGCATTGTGGCTCACAATTTCAATCTCATCACTTTTAGAGACTGAATTGGGAGTATCAGTGAGTCCTGGAGTTTCAGACCAGCGTGGATAACACAGTGAAACCCCATATGAACAAATAATGCAAAAATTAGCCAGATACAGTTGTGTGTGTACCTGTATTTAGCTATTCAGGTGGCTAAGGTGGGAGAATTGGCTGAGTCTGGGAGCTGGCAGCTTCAGTGAGCTGTGATCATGCCACTGCATGCCAGCCTGAGCCACAGTAAGACCTTGTCTTGAATAAAAGTCCAATAGAACAAAGTGGGAATGAAGAATAAGGAAAGCAGTGTGTACAGGTAGTAAATGAAGGGAAACAAAGCAAGCATATATAATAGAGAGTAGTAAAATAAGATCATTGTAGAGGAAAAGGAAGAGTGAGGTATTTTAAAAATAGGCAGAATGTAAAATCAACTTCCAATACCAAAACTTGTCAGAGAAGTGGAGCAAAGACTTCTCACTCTTCCTGTCTTCTTCAGTGCTTGGAAGGAATTAAAAATGAAGGAGGCACTTGACAATGTCAAGGCATGCTTCATGTACATAGATGAATACATGTATTTGGTGAGCCATACACATCTATAATTTAGGAGAAATACCTAATGTAAATGATGGGGTGAAGGATGCAGCCAACCACCATGACACACGTATACCTATGTAACAAACCTGCATGTTATGCACATGTACCCCAGAACTTAAAGTATAATAAATAAAAGGATTTTTATAATGTAAGCTTTAACTCAGATATTTTAACTTTTATGTTTTGATATCCTAAAGTTCCCAGTTTGGAATCCCTATATTAGAGATTCACAGGGAGAAATTGTGAGACTCTAAGATTTTTTCTGTGTTTAAAATGCTTATGGGAATTCTGTTTTACCTAGAGAAAAGCTAACATGTCACTTTTAAGTTTAATTATTAGATCACAGTGTGGTTACACTGATCTTAAGCCAATCAAATGTTCTAATTAGCAAACTGTGTGTTTGTGTGTGTGTGTGGGTGTGTGCGTTATCTTTGATTATTAAAAATGAAGAAAGTAATTAATCATTTCTTAATGCGCATTTGGTAGACAGTCTTTAAATACACCAGTTCTGAAACTTGTTGGCCTTTGGGTCCTTTTATACAATTAAAAATTATTTCACAGATGTAACCAACATGATATATGGGGTGTTTATTATTTATATTTACTGTTAAAACATTTTACCACATATAGGTATAGTCATAAATAATATTTAGAATTTGTTTCATGTCCTGAACTTGGATATAAATGGTTATATATTAGACATGCCATTCTGCAAATTTCTTTCATTTGGTCAGCATTATATTTCTGAGATCAATCCATATTGACATAAATAGCTCTGGTTTAATTTATTTTAAGTTATCCATCATATGACTGGACCTGATTTAATTAAACCCTGTTTATGCTGAAAAAAAAAGATTGCAGATTCCATAGAGCTTTTGTTTAAGTGGGTTATATCTATTGATACTATTTTAGAAATTAAAACTAAAAATTTAAAAATATAAGCATGCATAGTCATACATTTTAATAGCCATTAGAACTATAACCCATTGACCATTAGAACTATGAGGTTATGTCTTATGACAGCTCTGAAAAACTTCACTTTACATTTCTAAGAGAATGAGAATGATAATGGAAAATAACATTTTGTGTTATTTGACCTTTTGGGTCTTCTGACTGGATCTTGAACTCCAGAGATTCTCAGATCACAATTTGAAGCATGATTTTAAACCATACATATGGGCTCTTGATGATGAAATGGTCTTTAAGTTGTCACTTCTATTTTTTTTCTTTCCCTTGTCTTAAAAAAAAGTTTGATAATTTTATTTGTAAATAGGAAATTTTATTTAAAATAGGAAAATATTTTTGTTATATATTCATTTTCTGTCTGATAACACGGTGCACTTGGGATCTACTGTGGTTCTAGACTTACTCTATTTTTACATGGGAAGAATTAGGTCCCTTAAGCCTACCATTTTGAACTCTCGACCTCAGGTGATCCGCCCGCCTTGGCCTCCAAAGTGC